TCTCGACATTATCTCAAATTTTCAATAAACATTTTTTGAGGGTTGTTCATATGTCACTGTGTTGCAGGTTCATCAGCAGTTTTGTAAGAGACAATCTTACATATGAAATAATCCCAAAGGCTGCAAAATCCTTCATCAATGTTGTGGAGAAAATGAAACAGTTGTATCCGGGTAAAGCGGGAATCGTTTATTGCTTGTCGAGGTAGACCAAGTATTCAAAAGTTGCTCGATTTTTATTTATTAATGTTTCCAGGAAAGAGTGCGAAAGTGTGTGCACATCACTGAAGAAGGCGGGTGTTCGAGCAGAAGTGTATCACGCTGGTCTGCCAGATAAGGAAAGGGTGCAGGTGGGAATCTTGGAGGAATGTGGACGGAGAAGTACAAATTTCTTTCAAGGTTCAACACCGTTGGCTAAGAAATAGCATAAATGTAATTTGTGCAACTATAGCGTTTGGCATGGGTATAGACAAGCCAGATGTCCGATTCGTTATCCACTATAGGTAGGTCAAGTTCAGCGACAGAGCATAGTGAAATAGTAACTGCAAAAGCGGGTTCAGTTGAGCAGAGGTTACTAGACTACGTTATCAGTTTCTGGATTATATTTAACCCAGCAAACACTACTCCCCTAAACCTCATAGCGTAGTTCAGAAATAGCCTAAGGAAATGATTTTTCTAAAATATAGATACACACATCTACTGATTTAAAGGTTTTCAAAAAGATTCAAGTTTATACAAAATGAATTATGACTGCTGGTTATACTCTGAAGGGCTCAGGGCGGTCTTATTTCATTCAAACATCCCTTCGTAAAAGTATCGACGCGAGTATAACATCATAACAGTATACCATCCATTTTGTTCCTTTAACCAATGAAATGTTTGTTGGTTTCCTTAGTGTCTGCTCTGCAGTTCTTCCATATGCGCGATAAGTTTTTTAAGTTAACATTTTTAGCTTACCTAAATCCATCGAAGGCTACTATCAAGAAACTGGAAGAGCTGGACGAGATGGGAATCCGTCTTACTGCCTTTTATTGTACAGCTACCAAGATGCAATAAGGCTAAGAAGAATGATCGAGGGTTTGTGCGTTATCAGACCAACCAGATATTGTTCTAATTATCTGGCAATGGAGTTTAGCTGACGATAGCCAAGCACCAGCTAGCGTGCGCTCAATGCATCTACAGAACATCTATCAAGTGGTTTCATACTGTGAAAACATCTCGGTTTGTAGGAGAAAAATTCTTGTAGAACATTTTGGCGAGGTAAGACTCTTGCTAAGAAGTTTCTTGGAATTTGTCACTTATGACTTTTTATCAGATACTCCGAGAGGATTTTTCACTATTTTTAAGGGAAAATCAAAGCATTGGTGGAAATGTATCTAAGAAGCGTTATAAATCCCTTGCCCTGATAGCTGTACTATTTCTTAACAATTCATTTTTCAGGTTT